TGCCTTTCTTAGAACAAAACGTATGAATTAGTAGCCATGAAAATACTTTCTCCCAGCAGAGAGTTCTTCTGTTAACACTGAGCTCTATTGATCGGCTCGGGCATCGCGACTTGCAGAGGAAAGCAAGTGTGAGTGCCTATGGTGGTTTCCAAAGTCACGCCTTCCATCACGCGATTAAGTAGCGGCAGTCACACAGTTCAAAGTGTTCCAGTCCACTTTGAATCTAAACCTATTGAATTATAAGTCCCATTCTACAGTGAACAACACCTTCAAAAGAAGCTTTTGAGAAATCCCCTGGGACAGAAAGAAAACCAAGATAGAGAGGATGTAGCCAGAGGCATGCTGATTACCCTCCCGGGGACTTCTGAGTGGTTTTTAGCTGTGCAAGGCAATGTGCTTCAAGCTGCCGTATCATGTCCGTTATTCTTGAGACTATAAATTAGCCTTGAGATCTACAATTGCAAATAATGAAAATGTTAATCAAAAGGGCTTTTTTCCTCCAAGGAGTTCCATTAACAAGATTTCTTCAGTTTTGGGGTGGTTTCCAAACTTTCTAGAGCCTTTCTCCTCGAGTGGGAGCCCGCCTTGAATAACTTTCCCAGACTCAAGAACTTCTTTTTACTTTCTCCACACGTGAAATGAAATCTAATTCCCTTATTCTGTACGGTCCTATCATTCAGCCAAAGCATATATTTTTATGGTCATGGCAGTAGTCACAATAATGCTTTCTTGCATAAAAATACCTAATATTTTGTCTGTGTTCTATGCCAAATGATTTTTATGTGCTACCTCATTCCAGCCTCACTAAATCACATAAGATCAATTTAGCAGGTATTCTCATTTTACAAAGGCAGACACAACAGCATAATGAGCAGCCAGACTCCATCCAGCTCAAAAGCCTGTGCCTTTAATCAATGTGCTATAAATCCCCCTTTATTGCTAAATAAATGTGACATTTAGGTTAGGGACACAATGAGTAGCATGTTGGTGCTTGATAAATCAATCCGTCTCTACCCTCTTACAGAATAGAGGCAAAGAACGGAAGATGACTTTCATCAACTCATACAGCTTAGCAGTGTTAAAAGTGAATGGGTATTGGTACGTGAAGCATGCTTATCAATACGTGGAGGCTCAGCAGACCTTTCTTACCTAGACTGGGTGCAAAACGCCATGAGGACAGAGGAATGCCGAGCCAGCAGCCAGACTGCCTCTGTTGATTTGCTTCATTCCAATTCCAGAAAAAAGGAAGAATAAAGATTACCCAGGAAATATGCCCTTTTCTCTCTGGCAGAGTCACACAAAATGTTTACCGTAGACAATCAAGTGTGTTTTAAGACCAGATACGGTCTAGATGTCCACATGGAATATTTGTATTTCCTCTGATGAGAAAAACAAGGGGGAAGTGTTTATTGCTTTCTCTGACTGAAATCCTTGGATATACTTCAACACATCTTAGGCCCTCATTAAGTATTTGTTGAGCAAGACAAAAAAATTCTAAAAGTGATATAAACTTAAATAATTCTATGAAAAGAGTAAATGGTCAGTAAAGGATATTTACTCCAGTTCCTTCAGTTATTTAAAGAAGTTAATATTCAACAGGTTTTATTTTCTAATATTTTTAGACCAGGCTTTGTTTCGTCTTGGACCTAAAGGTGTGAATATGTCTGCTGAATCATAGTTCAAGGACATTGCTAGGACAGATGCTGGCTCTTCACACTCTCCAGCCATTAGTATTGCAGAGTAGAGACTAACAGGAAGTCAAATTTGGGAGAAGATTAAGCAGTGTTATTAAAAAGTATGTGTTTAATTATGTTCTGAGTTTCTGAAATCCTATGACACTTGCCAGTTTACAGGAAACAGGTTTGATCTCAGGTCTCATTGGCTTTATCTTGACTCTTTTCTTATTTGTTGTATGAATTCCCTACCCCCTTAATCCCAGTAATTTCTATATTAATCACAACACAACTTTAATAAAGATGTGCAAGCTCTAACATGACAGTGACACCAAGTTTACCAATTTTCAAAAGTGTTACTTTAGTATGTCTTCTGAGAATTGAGTTTCACTTGTTTGAGATTTCACCAAAACCATAAAGTCTCTCTGTAACTCATCACCAAAGGAATTAATAGAGTTGAGTAAGAGATTTAGTTTCATTCCGTATATTTATTTTATTCTGTATTGTCATTTTGAAAACGTGACCTGAGGTGTTCAAGTTAAGCCAGAATACACTACTGTTTCTCTTCAAAAGTCTACTAGAAGGTGCCTTTGAAACTCAGAAGGGAACCAAGTGTCTATAGAAACTTAGCTTTTGGTGTACAAGGACTACATTTCAGACACTTTCAAATAGAATCCTACTGCTGTATGAGCTAATAGAGTATGTTTAAAGGATTAAAAACACAATTTCAGGGGCACCTGGGTGGCTCAGTCGGTTGAGCATCCAACTCTTGGTTTCAGCTCAGGTCATGATCTTGCAGTGGTGGGATCAAGCCCCACGTTGGGCTCCATGCTGAGTGTGGAGTCTACTTCAGATTCTCCGTCCCTCCTCCTCTGCCCCTCTCCCCAGTCGCTCATGCGCGTGCTCTCTCTCTCTCCATCAAATAAATAAATAAATCTTAAAAAAATACAATTTCACCCTTATACATATGTTCACATGTGCTGATCATCCCATGTTCTGAGTCTGATTATATAAATACAGCACAATCATCAGGAAATCTTTCAGAAAATGCCACTTTTAAAACAAGTCATACTGTAAGGTACTCACAATACACTGTATACAGAGATAAAGAGGGAAGGAGGGGTATTAAAATTTGGAGTGGATCTCTCTCAGGATGCAAATTCAGATCATCGTCGGGTACATGCAGAAATGCATATGCAAACAGAACACATCTCTTTCCAACTTCCAATTTTGATTTGCAGATATAGTTAAGGGTAGTTGAATTGGGAGAAAGAAAGGGAAGTAAAATTATATCCCTTTAGGGGACATGTACAAAATATAATCATAAACAGCAAAGCTGAAGATTGAGAGAGCATACTGCTATGTGAGTTACCTGGGAGGGTGTTTCACTTAGTAGGAGTATGAGGTCCACCAAACTAAATGTTCCTTGCAGTCAGAAAACTGAGTTCCCCACCTATGCATCACCAGGGCATAGAGCACGAACTAATGCACGATGGTTGCTAACACGGTATTTGTGGATTGAAGGAATGAATAAATGTATGAATCAACCATTGTAGAGTGGGCAAGAATGTAGTTCTAAAAACTCTCTCCTGGCTTTTTTCTTCTTTCATGTTTTCTGTGTTTTCCTGGAAGATGACTTGTTAATCCTACAGTCAGGGACATGAGTGATGGCCGAGAAGGCTATAGTCTTACAGATACAGGGTTCAAATGAGAAGAACCAGATACAGTAGCAGAACAGTTCCTACAGTAGTGATTTTCTTCTTTAGCTACTTTTCAGGGATAATCTTGATTTCAGTCTCTACTATCTGAATATGATTCATTAATGCCATGTGACATAGGGGAAAGGAAGGAAAAATAAGATGAAAACAGAGAGAGAGACAAACCATAAGAGACTCTTAACACAAGGAAACAAACTGAGGGTTGCTGGAGGGGAGGCGGGTGGGAGGATGGGGTAACTGGGTGATGGGCACTAAGGAGGGCACTTGGTGCAATGAGCACTGGGTCTTGTTCACACTGATGAATCACTAAATTTTAATAATACACTGTATGTTAATTAAATTGAATTTAAATAAAAAGTCAAATTAAATTTAAAAATACCATGTGACAGAATAATGTGGCAACTCCCGTGAGGCTGTCTGCCTATCATCTGTTTCTAGTTGGTGTTTATCTATGTGGGCACTTCATATAATGAATTACTCTTGTGATCGTGGGAAATACGCTAATGAATCCAGTGACACATTGAGAGGTATAATCAATTTATATCAACATGTGCATTCAAGCCTGCACTTAAACCTCAGGGTATTGTGACTTACACCTGTTCTTTTTCAGTTACCTCTGAAATACAGTTGTTAATGCAAGTGTTAGCTTAGGCAATTCAAGGTGTATATTTATGGAGACAATTTTATACATAGATAATATGGATTAAATCATTGATAAGTGATGTGAAGCAACATGAATACGTCTATCTATCTTTTACCAGCTCTTCATCCATCTACCAAGATATGCATCTGTCTTTCTAGTCAGCATCTAAGTCACCCTTGAACTAAAAATCCATTTAACCGATGCCGAAACTAAGTCTCTTATTCAACTGTATCTGGGCACATTAACAGCCTTTTTCTTCATTTTATAAATACTAAAAATATTTCTGAAACAAGCAAAAAAAAAAACCCTTTATTTTCAAACTTAAAATCACATTTTACTATGTTTCTATAGCAAAAATAAAATTAAAATTCATGAAAGAAGGCTTTAGATTTAAAGTTCACAGATCACCGAAAAGGAGAAGTATCACTTCTATCATTAATACTAAAATGACTTGAGAATTACCACACTTATAGTATTAAATATAAACATAAGTAGCTTCATCTTTATGGTATGAATGGTGCTCATTTAGTTGTAATATAAATTTATGGACAAAGTTTGAACTTTGCAGAATATTGTAAATATTCTGTAAATATACCAATATTGTAAATATTCTGTAAATATACCCTGTAAATATACCAGTTACTATTTTCTAAAGTCTAAAAAAAAATGTGAGGTGAGATTTTTGAGACAAATACATGAATGAAACAGACATTACGAGGCAGATGGATTCTTTCTTCCTTTGTTGCTGGGCACCTCTACCATGAGGAGGGTTTCCAGCAGGTTCTTCACAGAACCCATGTTATTTAGCATCTCTCAGCTTCCCGTGGTGCACTTCCCACAGTGTTGTGATAACAAGCTGTGCAAGAGGGCACTTAACACTTCAAATTGGATTTTGTAAATTAGTGGCAAAATTCTTCTTTTCTAGTAGATTTCATGTTTTCTCTCTCGACTTTTTCTCTGTTGCAGTTTATTATGCTGACGTACCTTTTCATGCTGGCCTGGCTGGGGGTCACGGCTTTCACCTCCCTGCCCGTCTACATGTACTTCAATCTGTGGACCATTTGCCGAAACACCACCTTAGTGGAGGGAGCCAATCTCTGCTTGGACCTTCGTCAGTTTGGTAGGTGGACCTCTAACTAAAACGAGGCCTCATTGCTCTTTGACCTCAGTGACTGCCTCTGAAATATTGCTGATCATGCTGGAACCATCATGACTTGATGAGAAATGGATACTTGAGAAATGTATCAGAGTATTCACTTTGAAGACATCCTTTTTAAATTTAAATACGTGGGAATTGAAGGATGATTGGAGGTAGATTTCCCAGCATGAATCTACAAACGTGTATGTTTGAACAAGCTATCAGGTTGGCTTTTCTGGTATTGTCAAGATGAAATTGTGATGTCCTTGTCCCAATTCCTTTGCTCTTGTCCAGGCTTGCTAGGATGCTTGTGTATCTACTCTTATTCTTCCATACAAATATAAAATTTGTGAAGTCTAGTGTGAAGATCCCCTAAGAAGTATGTATTTCACTGGCTTCCAAAATAAGCAGAAAAACTTAGCATTTTATAATAACAAAATCAAAGAATGTTAAACCAATGGGGCAGCCCTCTTCGGTTTTTTTTTTTAGGGCTAAAACCTCACGTGCTAAAAATAGTTTCATATGTGTCTGTGGGCTTGTGATACACGGACCCTATTCTAATTGTTTTGTCCATGTTGGCTTGTTTGATCCTTACAACGGTTCTGTATGGTGGACACTATGATTATCCTCTTTATAAATGACACAGAGAGGTTAAATGAGTTGCCCAAGGTTATACAGCTAGGAGGTGACAGAGCCAGGATTCAAACCCCAACAGTCTCGTTTCAGAGTCTGTGGTAATTACACATCAGCCTGCAAGTGCTGCTGATAGACAAATGCAAAGAAGTGGATTTAATCTCATCCAGCCTGTTTGGAATTCTATTCCATCATTTGTAAAAAAACATGGGAGCTACAAAATTTCCATAAGATATGGAGATCCACATCTTTGAGCAGATTTTTTCCTCACAGACTATTAAAATCTACTGCATGAACATCTGGGAATGCTCCCTATGATTTTCTCTGAGGTTTCCTAATACTTCTGGAAAGTGGAGAATACTTCTGTAGGTGGTGTCTGCAGGCTGTGGGGCTCAGTGGGCATGCTGTAGATAGACCGTGAGGTACAGTGCATCAGTCCAGCACCAGCCAGTTGCATGTTCCAAAGCTGTGGCCTCCTCCCCATCCCATAAGCTGGAGCCCCAAGCCTCCTTTGCCTGATCTAATAAAAAGCAACAGCTGCTCTGTGGATGAAGTTCCTGGCAAGAAGACCACAGAGGGAATATGGATAGCTCTTCCACTGGAGAGGCTTCAGTCTTGGAATCATGTCCCACATACACACAGGAAGGGAACACGTCGGCAACAGCTGCTGGAGGTCATGAGAGAACAGCTGTTTAGCTCTGACTTCAGTCCCTCCCCGTCAATGTCTTCCTCCTGTTCTGTGGATCTGAAAAGTGGAAATTGGAAGAAAGGTGACTGGTCTCTCAGACAGGGTTGCCAGCTAAAATATGGGCCACCTAGGGAAGTTTCAATTTCAGATAAACAAGCAATTTTTTTAGTACAGTCTGTCCAAATATTATATGGGACACAATTATAGTAGGTGTAAACCATGACAAGGATTAAAGCTGCCCTTTGAATCTTAGCACCATTTACAACATAGTTATCAAGATTTATTCTAATTTAACTTTTCTCCATGATGTGGAAGAGAGGGCACTTTTCAGATGTCATGCAACCTTTTACATGAGATATTAAGTCTTTCTGTTTGCCCTTCATGCAGAATCTACTGCCTGGATGACATTTATTTGCCTTCCAGATTGTAGGCTCTCAGTAAGAATCCTGGATGTACAGGCACAATCAAGTTATCAAGGGGCATCGGCTTAGAAAATGACACTCCCCCCAAGTCTGGATTATGATTAGTACAGACATTTACTAATGTCATCAAAAAAGTGATTAGGTAGAGAAGAACATGCTATAAAGCGATTTCCCTTACTTTGCAAAGTTGTCTCCTTACATCTAGACGCTATGTTTGCTCTTAGGGGATTAAGATCTTTGAACTGCATCACGGGAACTCTGGTCAGGTAATGGCTGGGATGCCTGCTTAGTCCCTACTTGCATCTTCCTGTTCATTCCCCTGCATGTGATAAATGCATCCACGTCATACAGATCTAATGGCAAGCAGAGGCATTGCGCAGCTTATAAAGTCGGGGAACTTAAAGATGATTTGTCCTATTAGGGTTTGCCATATTTCAAAATGAGTCATGAAATAATTTGACTAGCAATTTTAATTTTTTAATGACATTGAATGTATGAGGGTTTTGTCTTAGTAAATTTGTTTCAGAAGATGTTAAAACTGATCCCCCCATAATATCATCTAGATCCAGAATTTAAAACTGCTTTGTTAAAACCTGGTTATTTGATGAAACTCCCTCAGGGCCAACCATAGGGAGAGAGTGGTCCAGAGTAGGTGGGGCACCTTTAGCCTTATAATCAACCCTCCCTCTCGTCCAGCACATCCACACATTGTAGCAGGAGCATCTTGCTTTTATCTGATTTCCATAAAGCCCTTCTCAGTAAAACTTCATTTCAACAAATATTTGTTGAGCTTCTGCTATGTGTCAGCACTGCTCAGTTTTGAAAGACAAAAATCATGTCAAAAAAGTAAAATAAATCAAAATTTGACAAACACTTAGATCATGGACCTGGCCCATCAAGCTTTTTCTAGAGAAGACACCCATGACCTAGAAACGTTGCATTATTTGCACAAGAGAGAACAGAGGACAGAGTTGAAGCTATTAATCAACAGCATTTTGACTTTAGTCTACTCTGTTCAGAAGGACATTTTTTATGTTAATGTAGAAACTAGACACATATACTATGAGTAGGAAATCTTTTGTGTGGTTAGCCATGTGTCCTGGCTAATTGGTGAACTCTATTCATTTCTGTTAAATAATTCAAGAATTTATTTGGTAAAATCTTGGCTACATTTTTCTTGTCTAGACTATTCCCCTGCATAGGCATTCCTATGTTAGGCTACCTGTCAAAGGGGAATTAGGTTACCGATGGAATGAAGGTTACTAATCAAGTGATCTAAAAATGGGGTAATTATCCTGGATGACCCAGGAGGGCCCTGTGTAATCACAGGGGTCCTTAAAAGTGGAAGAGGCAGAAGAGAAGAAGTCAGAGGGAGAGGGACCTCAGAAGAAATGCACATTTTACTCAGAGAGATGCCATTTTACTCACTTTGACGATAGACAAAAGGGGCCCGGAGCCAAGGAATGTGGGTAGCCTAGAGAAGCTAGAAAAGGATACTTCAGTCATTCTATCATCTTTAAGACTAGTAATGTAAATGGTAAATTACTTGAAAATTCAGCATTCATATTTCCTAGTAGGGTGTTAATTTCCCATCACCCTGTAAGGGATCATAGTATCATTATACCTACTCCTGCTTACCTCCACCCCTAGCTTGCAGTTTCCTCCGTAAGAACTGATGCCCTGAACAGTGGTGCTTCGACTGCCCAGAAACCTCCAAGAGGCTTTTGTTGCCTTAACGATGAAAGTAATAGGAACTGTGCGCATGGTGCAAGTTTTTCCTAGTTCACACACAACCAGTTCTTAGAAAACCAGAAATATATTACTTCTGCTTAACCAGCTTAAATGACATGAAAAAAAAAACCTATAGAAAAAGCTCGTGGCTGCTCCCCTGATGCATCAGATTCTTATTGTCTGCTCTCCTTGCTGCTTCTCTTGTACAATCCTAACTTGTTACTTGTCTTTACGAAAGTGGAAATGTCATTGTGTATATTTTAGTTAAGGACTCTTCTGTATCGAGTGGAATAAATATGTATAAATGTACTCGATATTTAGAAAAATTAATAAATCTGAATAGTTTGCTTCATTGGGGGTTAGACCAGTTTGGCCATTCATTGACAGAGACACACAAATCCAAATAATCAAGTTGTTGGATTTGCACGGCAGCATGTCTTACATGCACTTGATCATTTTCATAGCTTCGTGTTACACAGATGTGATTGACAAACTATAATTAACTTGCAATATGTATATTTGTGGTTTATGGTATTTATATCATAAAAACTGTGTGTGTGTGTAGTTAACATCAGGAGTACTGGAGACCGAGTGGAAGGGTTGGGTTACAATATTTTAAAGGTGATGGAGGAAGGCTTCACCAAATAGCCATTATTGGAAAGATATGAGGGTCACGGGAATATTCACAGCGGAGGGAGGATCCAGGCAAGTTACCAAAGCAGCTCCATGCCTGGCTTCTTCAGCAAACAGCAGAGAGACCAGTGTGGCTGAAGTAGAACGAGCAAGCAGGGAGAATGGATCGGGATGGAGTCTGGGAGTCATGGAACGCCGTGCTGAGTGCATGGCGGGACGTCATCCATTTAGAGACTTTTATTCTGAAGGAAGTAGAGGGTATTTGCAGGTTTGGGCAGAAAAGAAGCAATATCCCCCTTACCTTGAGGAAGAATTGCTCTGGCTGCCATATGGAGAACCGACTTCCCCAAGAGGAGAAGCAGGGAGGCTGGCTGGCACTCTTGTCATAGCCCTGAGGTGACCGAGTGGTGGCTCAGGTGGGTTGGTAGTGAGAGAAGTGGGGAGAAGTGGTCTGGTGCTGACTGTCCTTTGAAGACTGGGGCTGCAGAATGTCCTGATAGGTGGACATGTGAGTTTGAGAGAAAAAGAGGATCCAAGGAGGAATGCAGTTGTTGCCAGGACCACAGGGAAGACTGACTTGCTGTCACATGAGCCAGGAAGCCTAAAGAAGAGCTTTCTTGGGAGGGAGGCAGGCAAGGCAGATCAGAGTTCACTTTTGAAGATGTTGATTTTTAGAGACTTATTAGGAATCTAAACAGAGTTGTCAAGGGTAAGAAATTGGGTATATGAGTCTTGATTTCGGGAAAGAGGCACAGGGCTGGCTGAATGGATTGAGGAGCTATTGCTAATTTTTAGCTGTTGCTAAATTTTAGCTAATTTTTAGCTGTTGCCAATTCAATATGCAAAGATGATGACTCAATGAGATCGGTAGGGGACAAAGATGACAGGTGTGCACACTGGGAGCTCCCGTGAATTAGGTCCTAGAGAGAGGGGACCTGTGAGAATCCAAAGACAAAAACAGGAGTCCATAGACTGGGGAATGTAATGAAGAAGAGCATGAAGGAGAGGGAGTCAGCATCTGCGTCCAGCACGGCCAACCGGCCAGGAACGGAGGACAGAGAATTCATCTTTGGTTTTAATTATGTGGAGGTCATGGCTGATTTCCATGGAGGGTTGAGGCAAAATCTGACTGGAAAAGGTTTAAGTAGATTCTGGAAAAGAAGGGAATGGCAGACAGCGAACACAGTTAATGCTTTCGAGGAGTTCTGCTGCAAAGGTGAACAAGGACACAGGTAAGGACATGTGTGCAGAGCCTGGGTATTCCACATGAATGGGGTCTGTAGCTGCTCAGCATGGAGAAGCATGGCCTTTACCAGGAAGTTTTCTCAATAATGATGGTTTATGAGACACACCTCAGGGGCTTCTTATTTCCCCCCCTTCCCTCCTGGCGCTGTCTTGGCAGAAAGGCAAGGTCACAGAGAAGCGTGTCTGCATTCAATGGACCGCAAGTGGATTATTTTTTTAAAAGAAAATAATCGCACAAAGTATTGTCAAGGCAGAATGGGAGCAGCTCCACAGAGAGTGAGAGCTGACCGTGTACCTCAAAGTGAGCATGCGGGACTAGATACACGTACTGACATTAAATAAAGAGAAGGCAGCGCTAGAAGCTTAGGTATTAGTTCGCCCAGAACTTATAGGGTTCCCCCCCCTTTATGTATATGTGTTTAATGCTTCAGTAGTTCTCAAAACAAAATTCAAGACCCATTTGAGGCTAACCTTGATCACTTTTCTGTAAAATGAGATCCATGGCAGTGGAACACCTCTGTGCTTGTTAAAGATGCAGTACTCCTGGCAAACACTCGCAGTTTCTGATTTCACAGTTCTGTGGTGGAGTCCAGAAATACCTATTTTTGAGCATTGCCCAGGTGACTCTGATGTTGGTCTGTAAGCCAACAGGAGCGAGGGAGAACATGAGCAAAATTACAGGGGTTTTAAATTTTTTTTCCCACTAATAACAGCATTTTCATTATTAGCAGAGAAAAATTACTCCTCTGGGCAATATGCTTTTATAGACGAACAGAAGCTTTGTACCAGCAGAATAAATTTAGATCCACACTTCAGCACAGTCTGGAACATAGTTATCAAAATAACTGTAATGCCTACACCATTGCATTAATGGACCAAACCAATCAATGGGCTACAATTGAATGTGGAGATTCTGGGGGCTGGGTCCAATTGAATTCAGATCGAAAATGTTGTAAATTGTTTGAGGGCTAAATGGTTTTGAGCTTCCATTCATAATTCTGGTTATAATTATTATCTAGCAATAAAAGCTAAGAGAGAATGTTTCCATTATACTATAGCATAAAATGGAACTTGCTTAGTTTTTATCAGCATAAGATCCTTTTTCTCTCTCTGGGCTCTTGAAAACATTTATAACTAAGCTATAATTTTCTACATGTAGGGATTGTGACAATTGGAGAGGAAAAGAAAATTTGTACCGTCTCTGAGAATTTCCTGAGGATGTGTGAGTCTACTGAGGTAAATGTTTTTAAAGCTGTTTATGTTGTCCGAATTTTAGCTTCATTTTGGTAGTTGAAAAATACGTAATTAAATCTATATTGAATTTTCCCCTTTTCATCTCCGAGGCAATTTTACTCACAATGATGTTATGTAGGGGGACTGGAGAATAAATATGAATGAGATACTTTGTCTGTTTCAATAAAAATGATGACAAATATATATTTTTCTAGAAATTATCATTTTCACAAAAGTTGAGCATTTTTAATGTTATATTTAAAAAGATAATGTAGCCTTATATAGTTATAATATTACTGAAAACCATCGTTATTCATGACGATCTCATCTTTATAATAAAAGTATACTAAAATGATGCAGTTGCAAAGACTTAACTAATTTGCAGAAGTTACTGTAATAACGCTTTTGGATTGAGTGAGGGATGTATCCTAAGTGCACTTTTGTTAAAGATGTACGAAGTTCTTATTTGTAAGACAGCAGAAGTCCTCATCTCTCTTCTGCTTGTAACTATGATGCGTGTTTTGATTCTTTGTGGTTTCCTTTGCAGCTGAACATGACCTTCCACTTGTTCATTGTGGCACTTGCTGGGGCTGGGGCGGCGGTTATTGCTATGGTAAGACCTCGAGCTCTGAGGCTTGGTTTTTCGATTTGGAGGGCAAAGTGATTTACTTGTTGAAATGATCATTTATCCCCCATCCCGAAGTCTATACAAAGGGGGGAAGAGGGGGAATGGGGAACAATGGGCAAATAAATAAGTGAAAAACAAGGCTTAACCTGAAAAAGTATTATTGTTACAATAGAGATAATATTCGGTAAGCAGTTTAAGGATTAGAACACTCAGTCATATCGGTAACATTAAAAAAAGAAGTAAATTCATCCACGTTTCAGATATTAGATCATTATTAACATAAAAAATCGTCTCTGGATCATATAGGTTTGTATCAGTGTGATATTCTAGGTAATCTAATCAGTTCCTTAACTTCCATTATCCTTTTCTCCTCCTTATTTAAGGACATAAAAAAGCCATATTGAGTCACTTATGGAAAAAGGATTAATTTATTCTTCTTAACACAGACATCAATAGTTTCCTGTCATTTCTTTCATATCTAATTTTGTTCAGAAATACTAAGAACAAGTTCTTCAAGTCAGACTTTTACTGAGTGTTGAGGACCTGCAATGTTCCAGATTCTGTCTCTTCCCTGGTAACTCACTGTGAAGTCCAGTTTGCTCACTGGACTACCAAAAACCAACCTTGGACAAATACTCAGAGCATCGGTAATAGTTTTTGCAGCCAAGATCTTCCAGTCCTAATTTTTGCATCCTAGTATACAAAGTAATAATACAAAAGTAAGGTAGTATAGAGCTCTAGAATGTTCCCAGTAACTTCACAAATATTATAGCCAATTCAATATGCAAAGATGATGAATTGATTCGGGTTTATTTAATTCCTTTCCTTATAGTGCCAATACACTGTCTAATGTGTTGGTGAAGGGAACACTTTTTAAAAAATAAGACTGCTTTCTCTCTTGTCAAAGAATAAAACTAGGGGAGTCCCAGGGTGGCTCAGTGGGTTAAGCACCCAACTCTTGATTTCCGTTCAGGTCATGATCTCAGGGTGGTGGGATCCAGCCCCGCGTAGGGCTGGCTCTATGCTCAACAGGGAGTCAGCTCGAGATTTCTCTCCTCTCCCTCTGCCCCTCCCCCTGCTCTCTAAATAAATAAATAAATAAAATCTTTAAAAAAAGAATAAAACTAGGAATAATCAATGGTAAGGTACTAATGAGCCATTTGAGACCAGTTATTTTTTAGTGACTTTATAAACACTTACGTATTGAGATTTGATTCTGTTTTACTAAAAATGATTTTTAAAAATAACAGAAATGACCATGTCAGTGCTAAAGTGAGTTTTCAGACATTTTGTTAATTTAGTATCATGCTCATTGCTCAACTTTTCAGATTGACTGTATAAACCTGTACATAGGAATTTTATTTCAGAATATGAGGTGCTTAATAAGATCATGTTGGCTAATTAATTGGAGGGGTCACAATAAGACAATAAGCAAAGGCTCTGTATTCCCAGCCTAAAATCAGTGCTAAAATATGCCCTGAAGAAGCATGACATGTTCTGGGCAGTGATATTCCAAGCACGCATTCCTATGCAATGGATAATTGTTAGGGACTTGTGTTTGTTCAAGCAACATACACTCACGTATAGAGGTCTATCAAAGCACGTTTTGTGAAGCGGTGTGTAATAAAGCATGCGTTCGTATTTGCTACATATGTGTGTGTGTAAAACTGTGTAAAAATGCGGGCCTTTAGGCATACATTAGTGAAGAGTACTTGTGTAAATGAATAATGTACTTAAATGTCCCCAAAAATGCTTACTCTGAAATGATTCTATTATCAAAAAGATCTTAAGATAAAAGAAATTCAGATGCTGTGTATTTCTTAAGAAATCTGTGCTTTGCATGAACTCAGATACTAAGTTATAAATAAATTTTATTTCAAACTACAAGAGTTTAGAATGTTATTTTTAAGTACATCCTTTTGGATATCTAAACATACTCATAGCATAAATTCCTTAAGAAATAAATAACATCTAACTACTGATTGACATCAGTATTTCCAATTCATTAGCTCTGATAATGGTTAAGGTTTTAGGAGACAGGGCTAATATAACAATAATTACTGCTTCTGCTCCTGGTACTAATATTAGTACCAATAGTACTGTTATTTGCTCATATTTGTTTAAGCCTTGCTCTGTTGAAAGCACTGCCAAATGCTTAAGCACATAAATACATTCAATAGTCATAATATAGCCACTGTCATTAACCTCCTCACCAACTCCTTCAACACTCAAAATATACTAGCATCATTATTTCCATATTAGAGATGAGAAAATTGAGATAAATCCTTCTCTACCAAAATATTTAAAACATCATCTGCAATGGAAGGCAAAGATGGTAAAAATTTGTACTAAGACTAATGTGATCCACTCCATTTGATTTTTCAGAGGCGTTAGGAAGTTATGTAGATGCTGGCCAAAGGGGTCCACTTGCATTGCACGAGGTTCCTGGGGACCGCTGTCCACCTGCCGAGGGACAGTAAGAGCCTGGCAGCTGGTGTCCCCCTAAGGCCAGAGGAAATGTCTGCAGACTACTGGAAAGTGCCCGGTTCTGAACTAGAAAGACGCTGAAGCTCTTTTCAGTATTTCACTCATACATATTTAATAATAATTTAGGGGTCATATTTTCTCAGGCTTTAAAGGGAAGGTTTTTGTACATCTAAAAATATATTCATTCATGTGAAACGTATTTTGAGTACCCACTGCTTGCCAAACATCCTCCACAGCACTTGATATCTTCTGAGCAACACAGCAAGGTGCCACGTGAATTTGGTCATGTGTTCAGTCCTCTGTTCGGTCCCCATATATGTAGTCATGAAGCCTTCACTATGAAAATGACAGAGGACAAGAATATAACTCACAGCTCTTGCTTACATGCAGCTTACAATTTCCACTACACAAAATGCAGGATTTCAGAGGAAACAGAACATTCTGAAAATTCTTTTTGGTATTCCTCTTGGTATGCATCTTTTCCCATATTGCCGTGTGAAAATTGTCATTTTTTTTTCCTCCTGCCTCTAACGTATTACAGTAGTCTCCATTTAGAATTGACTTTGTGTTCTTGATGTCTATCCTTACTTTTCTAAAACCAGCCTACCTCCTGTCTTTCAGTGCTCTTGGCTAATCAAAATGTTAGTGTTCTATTTTACTAAATTATGGACAAAAATATTGCCCACCCTTTAAAACTCAGATCAAGTAAATAATTAACGACTTAGTTTCTCTTTCATATTCACCCATCAAAAGCCATCCTTTGGAAAACTGCTTTATCTCTCTCTATGGACCAGGAGTGAGGGAAAGAGAGCAAAACAAACCAGTGCTCTCCTAACTGAGTGCATTCAAGTCCAATCAGGAACTTCACTACCTGAGTAACCATGTTACTCGAGACAGATCAGAGGCTTCCTTTGTGAAGATGGCACTCTTCTAGCTATTGTGAATGTATGCAAACATACAAAATCCATATGACACAATACTTGCTCTCTTGTAGTTTACAATCTAAAGGAAACTGCAAAATTATGGAAAATTAACTTGACAATTAAGTCACAGATTTATTTGGGGGTTTCCACGATCTCTCTTTCTGTTGCACAGCCCGCAATAATACATCCTCCCATTAATTCAGAATTGTCTAGACTCAAACAGTGTAAGAGACTATTTTCTGTTACAGATGGGAAAACATAGATACACCAACATGAAATGTATAGTCTGTTGGTTTGGGTAAGGGAGGGCAGAACGGACAGGAAACATCACATAAAGATTGAGAATCAATCTTGGTTACTCCAGACTTGAAAAAGGAGAGAAAGATTTTGAAAGAAAGGGAGCTGAGAAGATGCTGTTATATAGTCGGAGATGTGAGAAGGAATAACATTTATTATTTTCATTACCACAGAGGTTTTGGTTCCGTCTTATTAGCACACATATCCTACGTAAGCATATAATTTGACTATTTCTTTCCTGATAGCAAGGGGTACTGACGACACTGAACAGACTTCCAGTATAAATTATTTCTGTCTTTGATTAGGTTCACTACCTTATGGTTCTGTCGGCCAACTGGGCTTATGTGAAGGATGCCTGCCGGATGCAGAAATACGAGGACATCAAGTCGAAGGAGGAGCAAGAACTCCATGACATCCACTCTACTCGCTCCAAAGAGCGGCTCAACGCATACACATAAATAAACCCTTCCTGTCCCTCCTGCCATTCAGATGCATTGGTGTTTAACTAAGGGCCATCCAACCATCCAACCTTTTGAAAACTAAAATGGAAGTGCTTCTCATCAATGATATGTAGGGTGACTTATGACTCACCTGAACACAATTCCTTGTTGTTTAGCACTTGATTTCCTAATCTGTTAAATTGGTGTGATCAGATCTCTTCTACAAGCTCCTATCCAGCCTTTACCTTTTTTTTAAATTTCTCCAACTCATTTAATAATTCTGTAAGATTGAAGATACTAACATTGTCAAATGCAGAGATTTATTTGACTTTTAACCGCTTCCCATGTGTTAATACGTAACACCTTTTGCATTATTTCTTATGTTTTGGAAAGAAAAATAGCTTTTTATACTTTTTAGTTTCGATTTCGGTAACTAGTTTAACTACAGGTAACCTTCAAAGGGACCACTGTACATTATGAACAATAGACAGAGATGGTATCATGATGACTCTTCTTGAAATCTGGAAATCCCGTCTGGAGATCAGGGGCCACGTTCATACAGGCCCTGGTTCATGTTTTCATCAATCAAAGGTGCAATTTCTAAATTTGTAAGAGTAGGTTTAAAAAAAAAAGTGCTTCTTATCTTTGTTAACATTGTATTTTTTTCTTGATGTACTTAAAAGGTATTTCTCTCTGATTACTCCTGTTTATGTTGTGAGCACGTAGAAACAGTGTTACTAATGCATGGCTAGTTGCCTTTTTAAGATTGTGACACCAGACTTACCTTTTAAAGCTTAGTATAGAGACAATTTTCATGGAAATAACTACTGTGAACTCTTGAAGAGTGATCCCTTTGTGATTTAAGCAGTGGCTGGATTGGAACTTTTAATATGCTAATGTGGAACATTAATTACCTTTATGAAGGTGGTATATTAAGAAATAAGCACAGTAACCCCTCCGAAGTTGTTTTACCTACTTTAAAACATTTTAATGGATTGCACCTCTGTAAACTATCCCTCCAATGTGTATGATATATTTGAAAAGGCTTCCATTAATATAATAGCTTTGCTTGCAGCCTTCCAATCTATGTTGGTTTACCCGTAGTGTTTTTTAAAGTGTGGTCAGAGGCCACTCTAGAATGTATCCCTTCCAAGTGTAGTGATAGATCTGTGTTTTTATTTGAAGTAAGTCATTTTAACAAAATGTTCATTCATAATCATTTATAAGAAGTACCTATATCAAAGGAATAAAAAAAAAAAAAGCAATCAGTATTACTGGACCAAAATTGGTGTTTGTTTTAACCTTGACTCTTCTTTTGATTATTTCTAATGCTACAAGAATGCTGTAAAGTGTCTTTTAAAATGATGTAGCCTGACAAGACATTTTTGTCAGTGTATAAAAATTAGGTAGTATTGTGCACTGATTTTGACCATTGTGAAATCTTTTCTCAGTGTAAGTGCATTTCTAATAAAATTTATGAGTGAAACAATCTTTGTACAACGACTAGTCATGCATCATCCATAATTTTACAAGTTCTTGTAGTAGGTAGCGGGGTATTACTAGGGTTATCTGTGGCATGATTATGCATTCTGTAGTATTATTTAATTAATTTGGGGGTTTGCTTCCTTTTTTTTACACGTAGATTATCTTACTGGTTCAACATTTTTCTGATATATGCAGTATTACAGATATTCAGCAAAAGTATTAATGGGCTTCTTTAAATTCTATATTATAGTGTTTCAGTTCTGTGTCTTAACAGTTTGTGATGATTTTTAAAACTGTCTTTTAAACTTATGTAATGATGTTGATGCTTTTGGCTTTTTTTTCCTGGTATTAGAGTTTGTATTTTCACAAAGAGTGCTTTGTAGCAGGCATTATAATTAATCTGTTTTGTACATAAATGTGCCAACAGCTTGATGGTGGCGTTTTTGAAATGTAGAACAAAGTGCTTGCAAAATGTAATAAATACACTTGTGTACTTTGTGTACTTATTATTAGTTTCTGCAGTGTTTTTTTTTTTGTGGTTTTTTGTTTTGTTTTGTTTTGTTTTGTTTATTCCTCTTTCCTATGTATGTGCACTCTTTCCAGATGCAATAGACGCTGTCTTTTTAGGATGCTTATTACCTCAGTTGAGCTGACCTCACAATGAACTGAGAATTCTGTGTATGTCATGCAGCATAGGGAGGCTAGGGAGCTGGGGAGAGGGCAAAGGTGTGAAGATTTTGGAGGTCATTTAATTTAGCAAAATGATAACAGTTCCCAACTTATGCTATTCCTTGCCTAATTTTTATTGTTCTGTGTTTTCTTTAGAGCTTCCTAAACTAGTAGAGAAACAAAAAAGACTAATTCAATTCAGAAAGAAAAATGATTTCTTGGTTTGCTTCAAAATTTCAAGGTGAGAACAATTAAGTGAAAAATATATATATTTTCCAGACTCTTTGTTTGTTTGGGTTGTAATTTCTTCTGGCCAAACTAGAAGTGATGGCAATTTAAAAATAATAAAACAGTAATCAATAAAAATCTTAATTTTCACCAGGCCTAAGTAATTGTATTAGTCTTCAATTATTTATGTATTATTATAAGTAATTATTATAAGTGCCTGAAAATATCAGGCACTTAGGTTACAAATATCTACAGTAATTACAAGCAGATCTGGGCAAAATATCTTATGTCTGAAGAAGTCACTTTTAAGACAATAAGAAAATAATCCCATTATTAAATAAGAATAAATAATTATTTTTAAATGACAATTTTATTCTTTCCAGTGTTTATGAAATTCTTAGCATGGCAACAAGAAAATAAAGAATTATATGTTAAAAATTATCAATGTGAACAAAAATTTCACAAGAGAATGCTTTCCAAAGAAAATGATCATTGTAGGATAATTATATTTTTGGAAAACTTAAAAGTCCATTTCTGTTTGTAAAACTACACATTAAAAAAAAACTACACATTTATCTTTAAAGCAAGTAATTTCCCTTTGGGAATTTTTTATCTCCTAGCTTTATTGAGATAAAATGGACATGTAAGCCTTTGGGAATTGTAAAGCTAATGTGAAGACTAAGGAAATTATTCACTTTGAGAAGAAATTGTGCATCGGCCAGCTTTGGTGTGGGTGTAATCAGTTTACTTCCTCATGTTAAAAATGTAGAAATAGCAGATTCTGATTTATTCACTCAAAGATCAAGTAAATTTGACTTTTGTTTTATTTTTGCCTTTTAGGCAAAAGAGAAAGATATCATTTTGAAGTATGTTTCACTTAAGTCACTCCATAGTTCACGTATGCTGAGCATAATGGGACTTGAATTACGCTATCCTCATACCTTGAGAAACACTCTGCTCAGTTTCCTGCAAGGTTTTCAGGTATTGAATCATCTGAAGCCCCTGGAGGCAAGTCTATAAAAACGTTGCTAGGGGGCTCAGATGTGAACCTCTTCCTACTGGCTTACATAAGCCGCGGACCTCAAGTTTCTTCTCACAAAAGTAAATTTTATCTCTTTGATCATTTAGATTCTTTTGCCCTTTTCCACAAAAATCCAACATGCTTGCACATTGAAAAGAATGTAGAATATGCAATAAGTTGAAGTGTTAAGTTCATTATTAAATGAATTACTGAAATAAATAAAAAATTAAACAAAATAATATCAAAATGAAATAAAATTTACCTAAGCTGCTGTATTTCTAACCTGTGGAACCCCCTATAGATGGAAACACCAAACAAAAGAAAACAAATAAATGATGGGGGAATACAAAATAGGAAAGAGAAGAGATCCAAGTAATTCTGCTATCATACTTGGATAAGAGAGAGAAAGAAAAGTACAGAGTTATTGGAAGATATAAATTGCATGGGGGGGAAATTTTTAGAAAGAAAAGTAAAAAAATACAAAAATTAAAGATGACACCAAGAAGAAACAGCCTACAAAATTAAAAAAAAAATTTTTTTTTAAGTGCAAAAAACAGTTGAGACCACAGCTCTTCTTTACTTCAGCATTGTCTGCCCCCTACTCAATGGACTTGAGCAGACACCCTCACGCTCCAGGCCTTGCAGGATAGAACACTTTCCTCCCCCAACAGCCCAGGACGGGGCCCTAAAGGAGCTGATCCCACTAAGTTGCCCAACATCACTGCTCTGATTAGAAAATGGGAACATTGTCTGGCTTTTTAAAAAGTGGTGTAATCTGTTTGCTTCTTTCTTGTTTCAACTATTATTTTTGTCTCTTGGGGGCCACGCTGATGGGGACGGTGGTGTCCCAGGACAGATCCAACTCTGTGAGTCAACCCCTCTGAACCGTTTCATGTAGATTGCAAGGGGCCGTGATCCAAGGAATGCCCTGGAGGCTGGAGCTCGGGTGCGTCTGTGCATGTCACATAGGATGCTGACTGGGTGTAGGTAAGCCCCAGGTTTCTTTGATGGACTTTTTTGGCATGTCTAGAAAGTATTGATACTCTTTTCTCAGAAGGATTTACACAAAGTGTCACAAAGAAACATTCCCATTTAGACATCCGTTAATTGATGCGGCAGAGAAGGTTCATTTACGGGATCCGATAAAAATACACATGACCTACTTCTGTGCTTTCAGTAAAGGAGCATTTAGAATTGGCAAGTTCCTTGGTTTTTTAAGGTCTTTTTTTATTTTTTATCACTGACATTGATTAATCTCAATGTGAAATCTGTTAATCACTTGAAATCTTATTTATCACATAGATAGTATAATGTCATCAACTAAGCTGGGAGAGATACAATGCAACCTCGCCCTTCACTAGATAGAAGGAGAGGGTTTGCAGAAACAAGAAACGGATTTTAAGGAATTATGACATCATTTAAAGGAAAGACTTAATAATTATCCAGCAGATTACTTTAACACAAACTGGACGTGCTGCCCCGCTCCTAACCTCCCATTCACCTCCCCACCGGATGATAGTACACCATTACCACACAATACAACACAAAGCTCTCCAGCCTTTGGGATAATAAGCTACAATTGCTTTTCTCTCTGTAGACGGTATTCACAATGATTACTGTGTTCATCATCTTTCTTTGTTTATGAATAGCATGGGGTCAGGTCTTCAAGAGAAAAAGCAATGTCCTGCCTGAGAACTGAATGATAACAAGCCAGGAGTCTTCCTGAATTACGCCTTCCTGGTCTTAAAATAATTACACTTTCCAAGCCCTAGATCATACCTAGTAAGTAGTACACCTGTAGATTAGAGACAACAATGTAACAAATGCAAATGATATAAAAATCACATTGTAAACATATAGTTACGGTATTTATACAAGTCAACACAATTAATTTTAAGATTTTTTTTCTCCCTAACTTCTTAATTTCCACCCCTTAATACCCAAGGTCATCAGGTACCTTCCACATTTCCATAAATAGAAAATCTATTGATTTATATAATAAGTATAAACTTAATGCTTGAAGTAATAAAAAGTGTCTCCAAGAAGCTAACTGGAGACTTCAGGTATTAGTGTAACACCCTGACAAATCAGTTATAGGGGTCGGTACTTATTTTCTCCCTGCCAGTGTTTCTGCCCCCTGTCCCCCTCCATGCAATTTCTAAAACTCATAATTTCCAATAACTGCACACCATGTAGATCTTAAATTTTATGCATTCCCCTTCCGACTTCTGTTTGCTACTTTTCCTGCTCACTTACCCCATTGGGACCCCATTGATCTAGTTGTTACAGCCCTCATTCTCCTATGTCGTCGGGCTTCTCAGTAACTAGCTTATATTACACGGTCCATCATTGCAATCACTCCCTTGGCAAGTCCTCATCACCTTCGACCCTCTATTTTCCTTAAACTCTCACAGTAAAATGCCAACTCTGGTGTAATTCATCTATCTGTCCACTTTTGAACCTGTGTAACTAAACATGGCTGAAGAAACACACAGCCTGCCCAATCTCACCCATAGAGCTGTCAGTAAACTGACTCCATTTTTTCCTAGAACAAGGGTTGACAACTTTTTCAGTAAAATACCACATAGTGAATATTTTAGGTTTTATGGACCATTGGGTCTTTGTTTTGTTGCAACTTCCTAGCTCTGACATTGTAGTGCAAGAACAGCAATTGGAATATGTAAATAAATGGTCATAGCTGTGCTCCAATAAAGCTTTGTTTACAAAAACAAATGGTTGCCCATAGTTAGCCTGAGGGCCATAGTTTGCTGACTTCTGCTCTAAGCATTCACTATTCTATATTCCCTAGATGGTTACTATAACATGGCTTTCTCTTAGCAAACTTCTTTATCAAACACTTTCTTTGCATTCAGAGTTAGAAAGTGTTTCCTATTTCAGAGGGAGAAGTGAGAAATACCCAGAAGAACATAGCCATAATTTCCCATCACTAGAATTCTGTCTGTATTAATAGGTACAATATCTGCTTTTTCTCTTTTTAATGTGGATGAATGACTTGTTTTACAGGCCAAACACACTTGATATATTCAAGATCCCATCTAATCTACCTACTTCAGGGTAGGCATCACTCCAGCAAATTTTCCCTCTCTTCAACCTCTCCTGAATCACCAATTTTTCACTTCTAATGGCTCACTCCAATCATGAGGCAAGCAAACAACAATAACACCAAAAAAACCAAAATACCCTCTCTTGATTCCTCATCTATCTACATCCAGCCTATTTCTCTGTTCTCCTCTATGGCTTATCTCTTTGAAAGAGATGTACAATCCCCTCCAATTACTCCCCTATCATCTTCTCTTAACCCCCTTACAATGTGTCCCTTGCACTCAATACTCCGTGGAAATTAGTCTTGTCAGGATAACACATGTCATCCAGATTGCTAAATCAAATCCAGTGCTCTGTTCTCAAGTATCCACTCACTTTCTTTCTTTTTTTTTTTTTTAAAGATTTATTTATTTATTTGAGAGAGCGAGAATGAGAGAGAGAGAGTACATGAGAGGGGGGAGGGTTAGAGGGAGAAGCAGGCTCCTCGCCGAGCAGGGAGCCCGATGCGGGACTCGATCCAGGGACTCCAGGATCATGACCTGAGCCGAAGGCAGTCGCTTAACCGACTGAGCCACCCAGGCGCCCTATCCACTCACTTTCTATTGAATATTTATTGAGACAACACTACAGCCAGTTATCCTTCTAGTCACTGGGATGTAGCAGTGGATAAAAGGTAAGAAATCTTTGTCCTTTTGTGACTTATCCTCTGATGCAGGGAAACAGACACTAATAAAAGCCAATCATTCAGATGTAAAGTATTCTTGAGATGAGAGACGCTATGGAGAATAATAAATCACATAACATATTCAGGGGATGTTGCAGGGTTGGGCTGGGGTGGAGAGTCTTCAGAAGTCTTATTAAAAAGGTAGCATTTGAGTTAAGACATGAAAGAGTTGAGAGAGTAAGCCGTGTAGCTATCTGGAAAGGAACATTCCAGCCAAATGGAATAGTAGGGAAAAGATTGTTGCTGGAAGTAGCGATGAAACCAGTGAGGATGAACAAAGGGAAAATAATTAAGCCAGGGGATGAGGGAGCAAATTGCTTAGGGCCTTGCAAGCCACTGGCCTCTTCTTACT